GTCCGGGGTCCATTGTCTGCATGATCATTTCCAAAGTTGAACCGTGGACGTGGTACATTCCCAAACGTTTGGTTGTAGCTAATAAAAAATAGAATTTTCATGCCAATGCCGTATTTTACATTTGCATGGACATCAATTCTCAAATACTTCCTTCTCCAAGCTGAGATTCGAAATGCTAGCCACAAGTTTTAGTTGGCTGGCTTGTGGTTAGGCTCAATGTAGACTTACCAATTATTGACTAATGAAGATTGATTAATGTAAAGTTTATTCTTTTAAGGGCCCACCTGGAGAACCTGGAGATATGGGTCCGACAGGCGAAAAGGGTGAACCGGTAAGATTGATTGTAAATTACTTTACACTTTTGTATATTTTTTTCTGTTATATCCTGATATCTGCTGATAAACATAATATCAGATAAATGATGACCAAAATATATTTGGAATTTACGCTACTATTTAGCAAGTCGCCGTAGTATTTAAGATGTGCTTTTGCCAGATTTTATATTCAATATTTATTTACAATAAAGTTTGTTTAGCAAATGAATTTCGATTTTTTCAGGGTCGAAATGCTTCTGCCGCACTAGACGGAGAATCTGGCAATCCTGGAGGAGGTGGATCGGTTTTTGTCATCCCTCTTAATCTTGGCACAGGAGACCAGAGCTATGCCAGACAAGCAAACTTCCGTGAAATTCTCCGGCAACATCTGGTGAGTTGGTCACAATACTGCAACATGAATATATTTTTTTATAACCATTGATCTTCTCAAGAGTGTGCCAGCCATTTTTTTGGAGAAATCAGTTGCCTACATAAATACGATATCAGCGGTAGTAAAAATCCTGCCCTACAATGCCTTACCTTATCTTATAACAGACAAGTCGAAAGAAAATTCCATGTCATTGGGCAAGATTGAAGAAAGGTCGTATAGTCTGGAATGTTAACAACTCTTTTTATTTGAATGATTCTTGGGTATAGTCCTGAGTGGTTTTACTTTGCTGAGTTAACTTGCTGATTCAAGTCTTTACTACTTTTTTGTTTTCTATGCTCTTAATCATTGTCATAAATTTTTACGGAGTTAAGCAATTCTTTATTAAAATGATTCAGTCAGATTTTATACATGCATAGATTAGGCTTTATGGCGTGTTTATAAATATTTTTAAGAAGTGGACTGAAAACTTTACTCAATCTTTGAACTCATGTGATGGATAACTGTTGTGTTTTTAATGAATCACACTTTGATCTGAATTTATTCCAGGTAGCATTGTTAAATACATATTCCCAAATACTTAATATGTCGTATCATGTTATTCCTTAGTGAATAAGAACTTGAGTATTAAATAATAAACTGGATACATTCCCACACTGAATATTGGCTTCATATAACCAAATTTACTTAGCCTTTTCTAAAGTGGAAGAGGCGATTTGATAGCAAAGAAGTATTTAATTTTTCAATATACAAAGGAATTTTTCATCCCCCAACGCTTACTTGTACAATAACTTATATTATCCAGCCATGAGAGTCTACTAGGCCTCATACTTGCAGATATTTTTAATACGTCCTTCTGAGCATACCAATTTACTCGTCAAATAAAAGTCGGAATTCAAATGTGATACTTAGGTAATGTTAAAATTGATATTGGAGTACCTTTCATTTCGTTATAAGAGGCGAGTGGAAGTGATTCGTAAGTTGCTTTTACCGAAAGCTTTAGTTGGATTGTCCTGGATCTGTGCTTGTAGATTTGTGCGAATAGGTTCTCGGCGAACCGCCCTCGACCCTTAGGAATCTTTGATGAGCTTTCATCCGTCATGTTACTGACGTCGTCAGAGCAGGACATCATACCTGACGATAATTCACTGGAACATGAAGGCAAGAAAGCTGGCTGGCTTCACACCTACCTACCTCTCATAGTCCAATTTGTCCCACTTACTTAGGCATCTCATGTTTTGGTTGGATATCCTATGCTTTGCCGAAATGCCTGCTGCAAAGTTAAGTGATCCTAAGGCATTCCGTCTACACCTTCCGGTGGGACCAACTTACGAGTCCCTTGCACTCGCCTCTCCAAACGAAATAAAAGGTACTCTATCATCAATCTATTAAGGGATTCTTAGAAACCCAATTTTTCTACATAACAATATTTTA